CAGTACAAACTATTTTCAACGACTGACTCTGGAAGCTGGTACACTAACCTAGAACAAACGCCACTTAACAGATGTCAGCAACTACCGGCGCCTTACGAACGACTTATCCATGACGGAAACGAAACCGACAAACGGACTTCTAACAGACCGACTTAATTTGACAACGATATACATTTTTATTATTATTCCTTATTTGTAAATAATTTTAATTTGTGTGTGTGTGTGTGTGTCCCCAATTAGTTGTGAAAACTAAATACATTGACACATTAATAAAGCTTTCACTTTACTTTACTTACTTTTACAAAAAACGACCAATTTGACTAACAATAGACGGATCGAAACCGACCAATCACTGATGACAAATTTTACACGAGTCTTTCACCCAATACCATCAAGGCTAAACTGACCAATCACGTTTAACGGACCAGATTTATAACATCATCGACTGACAAACACTATTCGCTTGACTCTGAAGATGACTTCCGCTCAGGTTGTCGAAACGTCAGTCACCAACAACATGTCTTTTCAGAACTACCCTCTCCCGGACGATCACACTATACGAACTAAAATGTGTTTACTGATACTCTTGGGTTCAAACCGGTATTTACCCGCTGGGAGGTCCGTATAGTGAAAAACTTGACTCAGTTTTAACTTGAAATTTTACGGCGAGAGAAACACAGGATTACGCACAATTACAGCGCCAAGTTACAAACAACAAAACAAACTCTCACAACTTCAAAACACTCAACTGGATTTATTTATAGTAACTTCCCTTGTCATTTAAAAGTGAATAGAGATAAACTTGTGTTGGTTAATCGTCGATGGAAATGTAAAAAGACCAAAGATTAACGATTATCCGTAATTCGGTCACGCAAATAGATCAACAATACGATTCCGCCCGCCTTGAGCGGGCCGGATGGAAAAATTTCGCCCGCTCCAGGAACCAATCAGATTCAAGGATTTGTTGAATTACGCCCGCTCAAGAACTGAGTAAAAATAATGTGATTTACTTTAAAAAGATAAGCGAGCATTCACGTGAGGTTTCATTTTCCTTCTTAAAGGGAGTATCAACGATGCCAACTATGTCCAAGTGGTTAGTTATATCAGGCAATTAGACAAAATGCTCAAATAGCTTTGAAGTTTGGTAAAACGCTCTCACCTTGTAAGCTTTGAGCACCCGTCACGTTCTCTTTAAACAAGGGAAAAAACTGAGATCGAAGAGAGTCCGAAGGATGTACGTTATTCACAATAGCAACAACTTTACTCCAGGCAGCCTCTGTTTCTTTGATCATATCCTCTGGCAAACTGAGGCCTGGTGCAGATCGAGAAGCAAAACAGATT